TCCTCACACACAGTATTCAATAGTTAGTGGTGGCCGCCACTGTAATTAATTTGCTACGGTGCAGATCAGAAAGATCTTAAGGAGAGAGAGAAGAAAAGTGGGGATGGGTGGGAGGGAAAGTGGGGACATTGGTGTTGGGAAATGTACATTGTTGAAGGGACATTGTATGACTGAAACCCAACCAATCATGAACAACCTTGTAACTGCATACTTAATGGTGATTCAATTTAAAGGAAGGGAGGGAGGGAAGAAGGGAAGGAGAAAAGGAAGCTTTTAAATACTTAGAAGAGGTATGAAACTGTACCCCGAGAATGCACAATCATGTCAACCCCAAACTTGTTTGGCCTACCACCCCCATTTCAGGAAAAAAAAATTACTTAGTGCCATCTTGGAAGTTCGCCCTCATTAAGGAGACAGGTAAAAAGCCGCCCCCAATTGCACACAAAGCCCCCGCTGCTCTCCCAGCGTACCAGCATTCCAGGTACAACACTTCCGCTGCCTGAAGCACTGATGTAAAATAATGTGATCACGAAAAAAATTTTGGAAGGAAGGAAGGGAGCGGAAAGGGAGGAAAGGAAGGGAGGGAGGAAGAAAGGAAGCAAGCAAGCTCACTCTTAAGCCTCATTTTATGGTGTTTGACCTCTGTCATCCCTGCCCAGAGTCATGTAGGGGAGCCAAGGTGGGATGTGTGCCTTGCTTACCCCTTTCCAGTCCCAGAGAGAAAGGCCTTGGGGGCAGAGCCCAGCGCTCTCACTTTGCGCTTCAGAGGCTGTGGCACATGGCGCCCGAGGGTTGGCCCATCAATGCAATACACTGGGCTCCATTCCCCAAAGTCAGCATCTCTGACCTGGAGGGCAGAGGAAAAGGCTAGCCCGGGTCATGAATTGGCGCGAGGGGGGCCATAATGGAAGTACTATTTGTAAACTTCTTATACTGCTTGCCAGCCTTAGTGCCAGGTACTCGGCATTCAGTGTCTATCGCATCCCTCTGACAGTCCTGTAGGAAGTGGCATCCTCCCTCATGGATGCCCAGCTGAAGTCCCCACGTGTCAGGGCAGCCCTGAGGTTAGCCGAGGTTTGACCGGAAGGTCCTGACCTCCCAGCCCAGGCCTGAGCTTCCAGAATACTCCCGACACGGCTGCTAGATCAGTCCTATCCTACACAGACTCTAAGCTTTCTGGGCCTGGGCCGAGTCTCCTCTGACCCCCGTCACCTCCAGTTTAGTTCTTAGTGGAGAAAATGCTCATTGGGTTAGGTTAGTGCTGGTATAAAATCTTACCTGTGGTAACGGAATGGCTCTGCACCGGGCCAGTGCTGAAACCCTCGCGTGACTAAACCCTTTTTAACATGTCCGGACGTTCTTCAGTGGTTCTGAGGCCTGACAGGACCTAACTTGGAACTGAGCAGAGCACCCCCGGCACATTCAGTCAGCTCCCTGAAGTGGTGCTTCTTCTCCCAGACCTAGCGGCGACCGGCTGTCACCCCCACCTCACTTCCATGCTCCAGAAGTCCCCTGCACAGGCAGGAAACAACTGGCCACTGGCAGAGCAGGTAGAGGAGCAGTTTCTGAGTCGAAACTCTGGATTTGCAGCCCATTTGTCATCGACCTGTGCACCCAAGGCCAGTCACCCAGCAGAGGCCACAACTCAATGACTGGAGTAACCCCGTCCGTTCCCTCAGCCAGCTTCTCCCCTAAGCTGCATTGTTGTCGCAGGCTTGGGCTCAATGGCTGCTACAACAGTCGATTGATTTCAATAGGCTTTTTAGAAAGCTCAGAAGAAGGAATTCCTGGATAGAAAGAAACAATGCATAAAAGCTGGGCTGTTCGGAAGCCACGCTGGAAATTGTGGTAGCAGGTCTCCGTACCCCTTTAGTAAGTGGGGGCATAACTTACCAGTTGCCCTCGATGGGTGCTGAGGCCCACATGTGCTCTGGTGTTGTAGAACCGTCTCAGCCCCACAAAGGCTGTAGCCTTGGAACACCAGCCCACAGCGGCCTTCCCGTGGTGGGAGAGGCTGACCTGTAGAGGCTGGCATCAGCCCGGGGAAGTGTGTGGCGTGGGCACGACCTCTTCCCACTCTTAATGCGCCAGTTTTTACTGAAATGGAGCCCCAGAGGAAGATACGCACCCCCGTGAAGGCACATTCCGAGCGCCGCGCACGCCCCTTCCCTGCACTGTTGTTTTCATTTTCCTCTCATGAACCTTGCTCCCCTGGCTTCAGCACGGAGGCTGTAAAGGAAGATGGAGAGCCGAGTTACCTCAGAATGATCACTATCGTTAACATTCACGGGTGGTTCACTTATCATTCCTGACTGCACAGACATGGCAGCCGCTCGGAAGCGTCCGCAGGTGTAGCACGGTGATACATATTACATTGTGCCACAATGGATTTATGTATTCTGTAACAAAAGAAAAGTGTAATGAAAAAATACAGAAGGTAATCCTTTATTCCTCCACCACACAATTTATCAGTAATGCCTGTGGATGATAAGTGCCAGGGATTTCCTCTGCTTGCTTTAACCTTGTCACCCAGGCACATTTTGGTAAAATGACAGAAAAATACAGACTAGGGATTTTCCTCTGTTCAAAAAGAAGAAAAAAAAATCTTTGGAAAGAACACTTTTAATTTATGGAAGTTAGTCCATCGGACTTCTTTTTGAGCTTTTAGTCGGCCTTTGCCCAAAATGGTAAACGTGTTGGTTTAAAATAGTGCTGTTAGCAGCAGACCAGAAGAGAACGGAAGCCATGGAGAAGCAGCCTTGCATCTGGAAGAGTGAGGTAAAACCCAGGACGGAAGTCGGCGAGATTCCGCCAGCACTAGCATGCGAACCCTTCTTCTTCCCGTGCCCAGCATATTGTCCCAGATGGATCACACTGACTTCTGAGGAGGAAGCAAGTCTGAACGCAGATGATTGGCATTTGTTCCAAACACACACTGGCCAGGCGCCAGAGCAAATACCCCCAAGTTTATAAATGCACTAGGCACTTTACATTTCAGTTCTCTTGCCAAAGTATCACTTACTGCATCGCTCCCTAAATATAGTTTTTTTTTAAGAGCTATTTCTTATTTTTGCTTTGATCAGTAAAATAAACTTTTAAAGATTGTTCTGGGATGGGGTCCAGCTTCTGAGGTAAAGAATGGCCAGGACTCAGGCATGATTCAGTAACAGAGTGTTCAGGAAAATTAGCTTGACAGTTCTCAGGCCTGCTGTTCGATAGCAAGGACTTGACCAAGTTGAAATGGATGATCGTGCTGGCCAGGCCAGCATCAGCCTTTGCTTTTTAACAAATGGAATGTCAAGGATTAAACAGCAAGCTTTACGGAGAGGTTGGGAGTGGCGATGTCTTCGTATTATGGACACAGATTGGGTCCTTGCTTTGGATATCGGCCCCAGACCTCCTCAGTGCAAAGCCAGCCACCTGGTTGGTGTGTCCTAGACGTAAGGCCTCTTCCTAACCTGTCCTACCATTCGGAAGCTTTTCCAGGGCTTAGCTTGGGGCTTGGCTTTTCTTTCCGATTTCTTTGTCAGTATGAAGTTCTGCCACGGATTTTGGCAGCGTTCCCCTTCAAGATTCTTGAGGGGAAATGGGAATGCAACCAAGCTCCTTGTGGCAATTCCCATGTTCCATAGTTGGAAACTTGGGTCCCATTTGTTACATGAGTTGCTTGGAACTGGCCGTTTTGTTCCAATGCCCAAGCACAGTGAGTTGTATTTGTGATGCCTGCTATTGCAATTAAGAGTGTTAGTAAACTAGCTAGCCCTCACCCAGGGGTGGGCATCTGCTTTTAGGGTACTCTTCCCTTCCTTGTTTTTTCCTACCCACATGAGTCTATTCCTCTACACTCCTAGGTTTGGTTTGGTTTGGTTTGGTTTGCAAGAAGTGGTACGCTACACATTTTGTCTTGTATTTCTTTATGTTTCCCCTAGTATTCTTTTAGGTTTCCCAAGCAGTGCTCAGGCGGCCTCACTGTGATCTGCAGGTCAGTGGTTACTGCAGCAATCAAAATTCGGTTCTGCTGTAGTCCCTCCGGGCCAGGAATAACCCTTAGGGTCCTCTAGGGCTATCCCCTGCAGGCTCAGGAGTCATCTGGTGTCGGGGATCAAAACTGAGTGGACAGATTGATTTATCTTCTGGGCCATTAAGAGCCTTTTCTTTTCCTGTTCTAAAATGCTCTGGGGGCTGGAGTGATAGGGCGTTTGCCTTGCATGTGACCAACCTGGGTTCAATTCCCAGCATCCCATATGATCCCCTGAGCACTTCCAGGAGTGATTCCTGAGTGCAAAGCCAGGAGTAACCTCTGTGCATCGTCAGGTGTGACCCAAATAAATAAATAAATAAAATGTTCTGGGTTCTCATGTCTACACCACCATGCTGGGTTTTTTTTTCCCCCCTCCAGGACTCCAGTAGCTTTTAATAGGACTGTCATATCTGCCTGCAGTGACATCTACTGACACAAGTCAGTCGTATCATTGTCAGTCCTTCCCGTAGGATTTGACTTGGGAACCAGCACTCAGAGCCGATGGTACTAGTGGCCCACACAGAACAGTTCAGTTCTGCCCAAGATAACTAAGAAGCACCATCGCTAACTCTGCACTGGACTGTTTTTGCCTGAGTGCTTCCTGCCCCCACCCCACCTCCAACCCTACCCCCACTCCCATTATTAGAAGCAACCAAAGAAATTTTTATAAAGATGAATCTCTTGATGTGTACAAATACCTGTTTTATTTAGCTGCTTTTAAGTGCTTGACATTTTTTTTCCCTTTTGCATTTTGGGCCACATCTGGCAATGCCCAGGGGGTACTCCTGGTGCTCAGGTGACCATGTGGGATGCTAGAGATTGAACCAGGTAGAGCAACGCCCACCCACTGTGCTATCTCTCTGGCCGCAGAACTTGACATTTCTGTATACACTTACTAGAACTTTCTTAAACATGGAAAAGACTACATAACCCCTAGTTGAATGTTGGTGATGATTTAATGTTTGTTTTTTTTATACAGAAATGCTGCTCATGGATTCTCCCTTATTCAGGTGGACAACACAAAGGTCACCATGAAAGAAATCTTGCTAAAGGCAGTGAAGCGAAGAAAAGGATCCCAGAAAATTTCAGGTGCGACATTTAAATTTATCTTGGAGACACTGCTTAACTCTTACTTAAGAGAGATAGAGTGAAGGTGTGTGTGTGTGTGTGTGTGTGTGTGTGTGTGTGTGTGTGTGTGTGTGAGAGAGAGAGAGAGAGAGAGGCTAAATTGTTTTATATTTTATTGCTATAGATCTGGTTAGCAGGTCTAGAGCAAAAAAAAGTGATATTTAAGCAGCCCCTGGGCCCAAGGAAGGGACTAGGTCAGTGACATATGTGAGAAGAATTTGTTCTTATCAGTTATGGAAGCTCTATCATTAATAATTTGTGATAGATTAATACAAAGCTACTTAAGCTAACTATTAGTTGGTGTAAATCTGTCTTGAAAATCAAATCAATCCTAAATTTGAAGCATTGCTTTTCATTTCAAGTTTTCACATAATCTTCCATGGGAAAAAATTTTTAGTTGCTAGTGTTTGGTATATGGAATAAAAGAGGGAAAACTCATCTTTACCAAAGAAGTTTTTTAAAGGTGAGTCTATTGATGTATACAAATACCTGTTAATCTCTAATTCATTACCCAGCTTTATACAGAAAATAAGCTTTTGATAATAGCTGTGATATTTAAGGGATGTGAGGAAAAATACTACCAGCATTGAGAAATAATTATTTTTAAAAATAGCTCAAAGATTTGTCAGACCACAGACAACGTCAGTATAAATCACCCTATATGCCTTGTCATAGAGCTTTATAAATAAATGAGACTTATGAAACACCTTGGGTTTCATCTTTAGAAAGGAAAAAAAGCATTGCTTAGGTGGAAGAAAATAGTTTTGTGTTCTTTTTAAGGGGAGGCATATAATCTGTTCCAGATTTAATTAGCTATCTTCAGATGAGAGCTGAAGTTTTAATAAAAGTTAGAAGAGATAACACAGTGAAGGACACGGATGAGCTGTCTCAAGGCCATATTCCAGGGGAACGATAAGAGCTGTAAAAAATGGCAGAGGAGAGCAATTGAATGGAGCAATGAAAATCTGATTCTCATAAAAAAGAGAGAGAGAGGGAGATGCTGGTAGGGGCGGTTGTAGATGAGACCTGCTAGCGTCTGCAAGCAATTTGGATGCTTGCCAGGAGTCATTGTTCACCCTCGGCTGTGGCGGCTCCGTCCAGATGTGCCAACTGCACGTTTCGGCTTTTGCCAGCTGACTGCGCCGTTTGATAACCAGCTCTCTGGATGCCCATCACTGGCCGCAGAGATAGAATTAAATGATGATGATCTTCCCACAAGTTGGGAGAGGAAACAATGCATATAAATCTTGATTTCATCTCAGCATGAGAAGTCTTTATCCATCATCACTCATAATGAACAAGTCGTTAGCCGGGATGAATAGTGTTCTGGTTTTTCCAAACACCTCTTTTGTTCATTTTTTGGGTGACTTTTATCCATTGCATGGGGGTCAAACCTCTTTGCATTTAGGGGATGATTGAAGAGGCATAGCCTCCCTTCCCCGGGGAAGGTGGGTATTCAGGGGTTCCCGGTGCCAATCCAATAGCTTTGAAATTGCTTCACGTATTTAAAGTTATTGAATCAGTATTTGTCTTCCGCTCAGATATTATTTCTCTCTCTCTCTCTCTCTCTCTCTCTCTCTCTCTCTCTCTCTCATTTATTTAACATAGCAGTGTATTTTTGTAACATGGTCATTATAGTCTAAGATTGCGTTATTCTGAATTGTTCAAGAGGAAGTAGAGCTCACTCTTTTATCCTTCTTAATAGGAATTCTGCTGTCACAGGTTCTGTAGACCATGAAACCTTTATGAACTTACCTGGGGTTATAGCTGAACTATTATCTCTCCCTCTGTCTCCAGCCCTCTCCGTCCAATTACAGACCTATTTATTTGGGTCCATTTCCAGTGCCCACACTGAGTAGACACACCTTTGTGTGCACAGCCCTGCCGTTGCAACCAATGCTTGCTACATCTGTGACCAAGAGTTAGAGCTTGGTGTCTAAAAGAAATGGTGACCTCCATTATTCCTTTTCATGCAAGAAAGTCAGTTGAGATAGATATATTTACATAAATTACTGCCATTGTCTTAATCCGAAAAGCTTTTTAAAATAAGAAGCTCTTTCCATTGCTTTATTAGTCTGGTCTCATAAAATAGAAGGATCTTTGGTTTGGCAAAGATGTTTATTTCAGATTAACATGGTAAAGGTCAAGTGTATTTTGTGGTTTGGAACTTTATATTCTGGAGCGGACCTGTTTTGCAGGGTGATTAATGAAAAGAGGAAAATCATGTCATAAAGGGAAACGTAAGTATGCTTACTACCCCAAAAAAGGTCTTCTTGAGCCCACAGTTATTTATGAAATACTTGGTTAGCCATTATGGCACATGAATTTAGTCGTGAGCTTGAAGGCAGGAAGTGCTAGATCAGAGACTGGCCCTGTCTCTTAGAAGTCTCTGCCGCAAGGAAGGGCCTGCTGGGCTCCATTCCGAGGGCAAGATTGGAGCGCCATCCTCCCGGGCAGCTCACACCTGATGGATTGCAGGACACTTGTCTCTCTGCTACACTAACTTAACCTAAATGAAGAGAGGAAACAGCACTTGCGATTAAGTTGGTGCCATGTGGAGTGGGGCTTCTACAGTGTGTGTTTAGTAAAGGTTAGTTGTACTCAATGTTTGAGAAGTGCAGCATTGGTCTGACAGTGAATTTCTGTCGCTTGCCCACAGACCTTCTCTGACATTTTTTCTATACAACACTGTTGCTCATAATAATAGCAATAATAATAATAATAGTAGTAGTTTGAGGTAGTAAGCTATTTCATTATTAAGGTGTGGCCTTAATGGCTGCCCTAGTATTTAAAAACTCTCTTACCCTTCTTTCTTGGGAAGGCTTTTGCTTCCCAAGTTCTATTTGCATAAAATCAGAAGGTGTTTGAGAAAAAAAAATTCTTCTTTGTTTAGTAACTCAGCATTATCAAGAGAAACCCTTAGGGTTTTAAAATATTTTTGCTTTTTATGGATAGAATATCATCATAGACACTTGAAATGGATCTAAAATTTTGACCTGCATTATTTGTAATTATTTCATCAAGTCATAACTATTTATGAACACGGCAGGGCTTTTTTCTATTAATATTCATGTACTGAACCATAGTAATCTTTTCACAGTATGTTCCAGTCAGTTCTCTGCTAAGGCCCATTTTTTAAAGCCCATTTTTTAAATGTCTCTTTCTAAGTTTCTCTCTGGCTTTTCATTTTATTACCGACCTACTTGACATTTGAAATCTACCTGCATTGGCAAAAAGTCCCCACTGTTTAAGAAAATTGTAAATGGAGAATCCAATTTTAGAAGAATTAGCTGAACCCTCTTTACTAATTTTAACAGTTGAGTGGGTGTGTTTTTTGGCATAATGAAGATTAGGTCCCTTGATTTAGCCAGTAAAGTATACGAACCTGTTATTTAGTGAGTAAAGACCTTAATTCTTCAAGGTCTCCTTTTGTCAAATGCATCCTTACAGTCATTGACCTTGTGAGCTTATTGGTATTTCCCTTTTGTTTAAAAATGCTTCAAAGTAGATTGGGGGGAGGTGGGCAGAGTAATAGTATACAGCTGATAGGACACTTGCCTTTCACAGAGATGACCCAGGTTCAATCATTGGCATCCCTGATGATTCAATTCCAGCACTACCAGATGATCCCTGAGCACAAGAGTTAGGAGTAAGCCCTGAATACTGCTGGGTATGGCCCGGAAAAAAAAAAAAATAATAATAAATGTGCTTCAGACCAGCGTGATAGTACAATGAGTAGGGTACTTGTCTTACATGCAGCTGACCTGGGTTCAGTTCCTGAGAACCCATGTGGTCGTCTGAGCCCTCCAGGAGTGGTCCCTGAGTGCAGAGACAGGAGTAAGCACTGAATGCATTGTGTGCCCCCCACCTCCTCCCCACCCTCCTCCACACACAAAATGCTCTTAACCACTAAGCTTTCCTGCCTCCTGAAAGAAGTTGTTGAGTGTGAAGGGACACATTAAAAAATGGAGGCAGATCCAATTTCATTTTTAACACTGACACAAAAATATAGGGACCTCCTGAGTACAAAAGAAAAGACTTGTAAGTAGATTGACCAACCAAAAATAATTTTCTGCATTACTTTATTTTTGTACTGTTATTGTGAAGTGGAGGTATTTTTCTTGCTTTTGGTTTTTGGGCCATACCCAATCTAAACCCAGGTCAGCTGCTTGCAAGCCAAGCGCCCTGCCACTCTGCTACCTCTCTGGCTCCTCTTGCTTATTTTTGTAAGATTGAACCCAAAATATTTCATTTTTCCTTACTCTTAGCAATTCTTGCCTTTTAATATGAAAGATAAATGTTATTAGTCCCAAGATCCCTTTCAGTTGGTTCTCACCTTTTATTGCTAGTAAGATTCATAACGTCCATGTCTAGTTCTACCTTACACAATTTCACTTAGAATTTGAGAGAAAAAAACGTTAGCTTTGAGGTGTGAACTTCTCTTAACAGCTTCATTGAGAGTCCAGACCACCTCAGTGCTGGCCAGAGGATCCCTAGAGTGTCCAGAGCCTCTGAATGTTCAGGGCTTCTGAAACATTCTTCCTCAAAGTACTGCTTGGAGCAAGAGAGCTTATATGCTGACCACAGGGGTTCCAGTTGTGATCTGAGGGACAACTAATAATGATGACATCGTTGGACTCTCAGGTTGGTTCTTTGAAACGCATGTCAACTGTTAGTATTGATCACTGATATATTTGTAGCTGTGTGGCTTGTTACTTGCTCCCATATGGTTACATGCCTGGTGGAGGGGTGAATCAGATCAGAGGCCCTGACAGAAAAAGACCTCCCCTTTCAGAGGAGGAACAAATAGAAGGCGTGAGAGGAAAAGAAGATGCCAAACGTGCCCTGCAACAGGTAGAATAGGTGGTGAGTCCTTCCTGAGAACGTGACATATCATAAAATGAACATTTCTGATTACTTGGCAGTTAATTTTTTTACATATATGCACACCCAACCCCACC